AAAAGTTGCATCTGCAAAATTAAAAAGCGACCAGCTAAATGAGTTCACAAGATGCATTAACCTATGATGTAATTTGGTTAGGGTTTAGCCTGTGTGAATTATTACCATTTTTGGTTAAATCAGCAATCATGTTTACCATTAAGGTGAATTCAGAATCAAGTATTATAAAAATATACATAGAATCAATAATGATTTGTTTCATATATCATGCAAATATGAAACAGATCATTTCTGACTCCACCCTATGCATAATAGAGCAGATGATCAAAATAAAGTATATTACCATAATTTCTTATTAAGGTATAATCTTCAATATAGCTTATATAGGAGTTTATAGCTCCAAACTGATGTTAGTTGATGTAGGACAAACAAGTCAAATCTAATATACTATGGACCTAAAATGTGTGTCTCATATTACTATTAGATAATGCTGCCAGACAATCAATGTATAAATTATATATCCCTATAGCTTCTAACAGGAACATTATTTGTCTTGAAAATAGATTTTTAATATTCATAAAGTCTCATAGGCATCACTTTCCCATTCTTGCCATCCTATCTCATTTTTCCCAAAAAAAAAAGGCTTATCATGGGGATAAGAAGTAATACTAGGTTTTGGTCAGAATAAGACCTTTATCAGTTCCTGTGTTCTCCATTGTACTCCTTAGTGCTTAGCTGGAATTTCAGTATGGGCATTGTTTATCCAATGTATAAATATAGAATACATTTTCACCTTCTGTGTTTTTATGGAAACTAGTATAACTACTTAATGTTGGGATAAAGAATTCCTAGGCCTCTATCATGGCTACTCCTAGTTCCCCCACAATCTTATCAGTAACAAGTAAGTACTTATTAGTAATCTGCCATAGGACCTACCTTCTGGAGCACCACACCACCTGAAATTAGGTTAGCCTTGATTTTGTGGGCCTTTTGGAAAGCCATGAAGACCTAGCTATTTTCCCAGGCACAAGGGTCAGGAAGTTAGTTGAGACTAGGTGGTTTCCCCAGTTGCCATAGTGGGTTTTTGTCTTTGTCTTTCGTTTTTCTTCTTTTTCTGGTTGCTCAGCTGTTAGCTGCCCAAAGTTGCACTTGAAATAAATAACCAAACAAATATTGTGGTTCACAGTTTGGGCACCTGTTCCCTTCTCCAACTCTCTGCTTTGTGGGTCTTCTACTTGCCTATGTTTTGGATACAATGATTGCTAGTATGCTATTTATTGATTAATCACATTTGTGTCCTGCCAAATCATTCTGATTACTGGTAGGTTGCTACAAAATAAAATACAATAAAAATATCCACTGTAAGAAAAACAAAAACAACTATCCTCCACAATAAGAAAAATGGAAGAAAAAAAAAGCCGTAACCCCCAAAGTACCAGAATCCAGAGCATTATATTATTATTATTATTATTATTATTAATAATAATAATAATAATAATAATAATGAACAAATGATGAGGGAGAAGGATCACAAACACCATTCAGAAAGGTTGACCCTTTGCTGGCCTCTAGAAGGCCGTTAGCAAAGGGGCCAGGATCCTAACATGAAGAAGGAAGCTGTTCCAAAGAATAGGCACCATTGATGAAAAGTCACGCTTTCTAGTCTGAACCCCCTTCACTTCACAAAACTGGGGCACTATGAACAGCAGTTCTTTGGAGGATCTCTTTGGGTGGATACATGTGAGGTTCCACATGGGACTGAGATGTTTTCTCAGAATTTTGCCTGTTTCTCTTTTCATATTACTGTTTCATATTGTTATAGCTAAATATATGTGCCTTTGTATTCGCAGGCTATGCTTTGAGGCCTGAGGTGGTATAACTATTGGTACCAAATAGGCCTGGATAAATGATAGCCTATATTCCAGCCTGCTGTGTGAGCACAATATAATGATTAACAATCTGGTGCTGAATTTGTGCAGGAAAACATTACCCATCCTATCCTGCTTATCAATTCATTGATTAATTTTCTGGTAAATTTGTTTTCATGTATATTGAGTAAAATTAAATTACAAATATATTGGGATAAATATAGTTTAATTTTACAAGCAATATTTATAATGCATATTACAAGGTACTGAGCCATATACTGACACCTTTATGGAGTCTAAAAACACTGTTTTATGTTCTTTGGTCTATATCAACTATTGGCTAAAACAAAGCATACAATTTCACTGAATAATATACGCTTAGCATTGGAGCTGAAAGTATTTTTCTTTTTCTGTGTAGTATGGAATATGCATTTTCTCTTTATGGGTGTATGTATGTATATATTGGAGAGTATGTTAAAATAGTGGCTGCATTTTGACCATGAAATGACATTAAGATATAAAATGCAAAGTACATAACCTATATAATAACAATCAGAATATATAACCAATATATCAGGAAATTGCATTAAAAGGCACACTGAGCAGAGAATACAAGACTTTGCAAAATAAAAAGGGTTAAACAGTACACTAAATATAGTCAAAGAGGGGGCACCTTTGGCCCCTACAAAAAGGATTTCTGTAGTTTTGGGGTAACAGCCAATAATGCCTGCTCCTGCCTCTGACTCAGGATGTTCAGTAACAACAGCAGACAAAAGAGAAATAAATGGAAGGATAAAGGATAGGAAGAGGCAGGTATATGCACCCAGTGCTTGAATTATGGAGAAAGGATAGAGCAGTCCAACCTCTTTACTGTACTTTGATAGCATTTTGTAGCTATTGTGGTCCAAAGGAGATGTGACATTCAGTGGTTAACACAAAGGTGTTTTTGTTATAAAAAAGGAAATAGCATCTCCCGGATTGCCAGTACGGGACTTTTGTGTGAATAATTCCACAGGAACAGGTTTGTTTGTTTTTTTAATCAGGATGGCTGCTGGAGAGGAAACGTTTCAAAACTTCCTGCCTGCTTGCAGCTATATGAAGCCTGATAAACAAGTTCAGCACAAACAAGTCTGATCTCTTTTAGAGTCTTATCAGATGAGTAAGTGGGGCTTCATTTATGGCACTAGAGTCTCACTAAAAAGATACAGTTCATGGCTAGGGGTGCTTTTAGGCCTGATTTTCCTATAGGGAATCTCTGGTAACTTCTGTGTTTGGAAGCGCTTCTGTCATAGTAGGTTGGTATGTTAGCTGCAGTCTTCTTGAATAGGAATGATCTTGCCATGGTATCCACATTCTAGCAGGTGAACAATATACTTGCTATGAGTAGCTCAGTTGTAATCCATGAGATTGTTAACTAGAGATCTTTATGAAGGTTGGAAAAAAGCTATGGAGGATATTTTGTTAATAATTCAGATATTTAATACCAGAAACAGGAACAGCATATATGAAATACATATACATATATATCCCTTAATATACTGTTCTAAGTCAGGCTTCCCCAATAAGGGCATCTCCCCCAGATGTGTGGACTTCAGTTTCCAGAATGCCCAGCCAATATGGCCATTGCGAAAAATTCTAGGAGCTGAGATCCATAATCTAGATCAGTGTTTCTCAACCTTGGAAACATTAAGTTATATGCAGTTCAACTCTCAGAATTCCCTAGCCAGCATGTTGTCAAGTTATGGAAACACTGATCTATAAGATGCCAAGATTGAGGAAGGCTGTTCTAATCATAGCCTGAGTAAGTAAAAGAAAAGTAGGTAATGTTTTTGGCCAAGAGAGCCAGGTGACTGCTGGATCTGGGGCTGTGCATACATGTATGTTCAATTTGTGGGAGGGGACCTTTAATTTAACAAGTGATCCTTGTTATCAGGATCACTCTGTGTGCATGAGAGAGAAAATGCCTGTGTCTGTATGGAGTTGGTGGCATATACATTCAATAAAGGTAAATTTGGAGTGTGTGTGTGTATATATGTGTCATCTATCTATCTATCTATCTATCTATCTATCTATCTATCTATCTATCTATCTATCTATCTATCTATCTATCTATCTATCTATTCCATCCATCCATCCATCCATCCATTAACAAAATCTGTTCCCCCCTCCTCATATTCCTTGGTAGTGGTAAGAACTCAGACTCTTAGAGCATTGGGAGTCCCTTAATCAGCTATAGATCTCTGAAAAGCTACTGATTACAGCAGAGAAAGAGTATCGTAGTAGCTACTTTGGCAGCTGAACTGAGAGAGCTCTGTGATCAACCATAAACTTGTTTCATTGCACTGACAGAGCAGCTGTTAACACATATAAGAGTTGAACAGCCCTGTTAACACTCATGTTTTCATTAACAGTAACAGCAGTGGGAGAGAAAAGAGAATCTTAAACCTTTGCACCTAAGAATCGGCAATGGGCAATCTTCCAGATGCTGATAAATCCCAGTTCCCAACTGCCCTAGTCAAAATGGATAGTGGTGAGGAATGATGGAAATTGCATCCAATACTTATAGAGGACTATATGTTGCAAATATCTGGTGTAGATTGAGAATAGCAATTGGCATCACCTGTGAAAATGGTGAATAATAATTCTGATCAGCCCATTCCCTAGTGAAGTGAACACCAGTAGTTCTTGATTTGTTTAAGAATCTGTCTCTTAAGCAGACTGATAGATATCTGATATCTCTTGTATCAGGAACTTAAATTGCAGCAGTGAGAAATGAGAATAGAAATTCAAGCCTCTTGTGTAGGTGTAATGTGTTTTTGTAGAGTTTATCACTTCTTATTTTTCCATTCTTTTGAAGTAACAGTTCAGATTTATGGATGAGAGGGCCAAAAACAACTTATTGGCTCGGTTCACATTAAGCCGTAACAACATTTATTTGTTTGGGCATAGCATTGTGTGAATGCTGGAATTGTGTTTGGCTAAACTGGATTTCTCATTTAATGGGAACTCAGCCAACAGAGAGAACTGGATTTTTGCTGTACTGTAGAATTTTCCTCAGGATTTCATTTACAAAGGAATCCAAAACGGATGCCTATGCCCTTTTCTGAGGCTAAGGTTAAAGAATTTATGTCACAATAATAAGACCTCCATTTGAAATTTGCTTGTACTTTTCTGTTTATCTTGCCACTGCAGACCATCTTTCCAGCATGTGTGTTACCAACAAAGATGTCGCCTCTGATAGAAAAAATTAGTGATCAGAAGGACTTCAAGAAGCTCCTGAGAACACGGAATAATGTGTTGGTGCTATATTCCAAATCTTGTGAGTATTCTTCATTTTAAAAACATTTTAAAGATAACTGGTATTTAAACAAAAATGTTAAGTGTTTGCCTAGGTGAGAAGATAGGAAAAGCAGGATAGTGTTTCAAAATCAAGATTGCATACAGCATATGGACAGGAACTGTTTTAGAAACTAAAACTTGCAGATAAAATTTAGAGTGAATTCATATAAATAATCAATTCTTTTCTTGTTATTTCATCCTGCCCCATAACATTATGAAAGTACTTTTTATTTTATTACTGTTATATCATAGTATAGCACTCCTCTTTAAGAAACTTGCACAAATACACAACCAAGAACCATAGAGGCAGTTTTTAGTGTATTTGCAGCTATTTTGTGTTGAGGCACTTTTCCTATCATTCTACTTCTTGGTTTTCCCAGAAACAGATATTTGTTTTTAAATGTTCCTTTATTTGTGCCTGCATTTCCACCATCTAGGTTTATGGAATCAACCTATACAACAGATATCTGCTTGCTTTTCTCCTTAGTTTTTATTTATATATTTAAAACCAAATTTCTAGGTCACCTAATTCCAGTGACTCCGGGCAGCTTAACATACACAAACAATAAAATAAAAATTGAACCCAAAAGATACTGTCATCTGCTCCCCCCCAACAGAAACAAAAACACACAAAAAGGCCCCCCAAGCACAGCACCCCACGGCCTGGGGGAAAAGCCATGTTTTTAAGGCTCTCTTAGAGGCTGGTAAGGTGGGGGTCATGCAGATTTCCGGGGGGATGCTGTTCCAGACAGCAGGTGTGGCAATAGACAAGGCCTGCTTCCTGGGTCTTGGTAGATGAAATTGCTTAATCAACAAGTCCAGACTCTCAGTTCTTACAAGACAGGCAGAAACCACAATAGATATAAAGTCCCTCAAAATAATTACCCCCCCCCCGGCAGTAGTAGCACTTGTTTTAACCCTAAAACCAGTTGTGGTTAAGTTGTGGTTACGTTGCTTTCCTATTTATGCCTTTTTATTATCATATGCTTTGCATCATTTGATGCTTCACCAATTCTTGGAACACTCATATTAACCTCTTGCCTGCTAGCCATGCACTTGCTGTCTCATTCTGTTATTATGAACTTGTTTAAGTCATCATTGCTTCTGCTGCTGCTTGTTTTCTTCTTCCACCTCTATCCCCTTTTCTGCAGTGCAGCTTTCCTTCCACTTTTTTTTTATTGCCTACAACAGATTGTGAGCTGCTATTGGTGAGATTGTTTGCAAGAGCTTGGCCCATTTAGAACGCTATGTGCGGACAGGTTAATTACACTTACGTAGCATCGTTATGATATATACTAGGCCAGAAGATGCATGTTCTGCACATTAGCTCAAAAATTAGATCAAATTTAATGCCCTCTGTGCTTTCTCCTTAACGTTCTATTTTTTCAGTCAAGGAATAAGGAACCAGCCAAAATATGTTTGCTTTTAACAAATGTGTTACGCACTTAGGCTTCCAACTCCAAATCACTCATTCTGAAGGAACCTCCTTCAAATCAAGAAGGAGGGAGAGAAGAAATGACTGTATCTGAGTAACTGATTTGAGGATATTTTCCTTTGACAATTTAGCTTGTCTGATTTTAATACTTGTCTGATATTAGAATAAATCAGTTAGTGTAGCAGCATTTGATTCAAGGGCAGAATTTTGTGGAATCCCTGGTAACTGAAAATAATTTTTCCCACTGTTTCAGTGAAGACAAGTTTTGCCTTTTTTTTTTTTGCAAATTTGTCTTTATTAATTAAAAATAGAAAAATAGAAATGCTTGATTCAAAGGTCCCTCCAAACCATAATTACAGAAGTTGAACTGTAATTAATGTAATATTTTAATTGGCAAAACCATTGTATGTGGTAGACTTGATGGTCATGGATTATGGTAACATGTAGCTGGTTGGTCTGATATCTGACCTGACAAATCATAGTTATATCCACTCTCCTCAAGACAGCAGGTTGCTGAATTTTGGAATAGGGAAAAAATGAGCGATGAGTAGCTATAAAACATGATTTACACTGAGCTTGCAAGCTCAAATCAAAGTTGGATTTCTGTGCTGGTATACAGGCACATGTAAATAGGCCAACAAACAAACAGATATAATAGGTTTGGGTTTGAACCAATGATTAAAAAAAACAGCTAAACTAGAGATACGCAAAATGTACCATGAATAGATCATTCCATGAATAGAACACCAACTTCAGGAGGTCTTGCTCAGACTAAACATGCATGTTCTGGTGTATTTAGTCTGGATATAGACCCATATCACATGTGTTCCTGTCACATGTCTTCCAAAGTAGGAGACAGTGGGGAAAAAGAAAACTGTAGTCAGCAGCAATGAGAAAGTAAGGGGAAGAAAAACCCTAGGAAGTTCAGTGGGGTGGACAGTGGGCTGGTGGGGATGCCACACTTGAATTCAAGTGTAGTAACAGCAGCTAAGGGAAGGGAAGTCCTGGAAGATTGGGGGAAGGGATATATGGACTGGTTGGGTGATGCTGTGCTTGAATTCAAGTGTGGTGACCAAGAAGAAGGCAGGCTCTGGCAAGGTTGGTGGGTGATTAGTGGGCAGAGGAGAGAGAGGCAAGCTCGCCCTACTTGCTGCACAAGAGTCTCTCTGGAGTTTATTTTGACCAAAACATGCAACAATGAAGATGTTCCAGGTTTGTTTGACTGAACTGCAGTCTGTCCAGAGGGACTCAGCTAAAGTGCTACACCATAATATGCTTGTTTGGTTTGTGGAACAAATACACTTTGTTTCATTTGCATGCCTAAGCAAAACCTAGTCATACAATGTACTAAATTGCACCAAATTGTTTGTGCAAATAGAAAAACATTTGAACGTTTATTAGGGAAGGACGTAACCTAGAAATGGCTTCTGGCCCGCTAAGATCTTGCTATAATTCCTCAAGGAACTATAAACAATTATATTGGGGCTGTGAAATAATCAACAACAAGACTGATGCAGGAAAAAAAGCAACAGAAAACCATTGACATCTACAATATCTAGAAAACACATTCAAACATATTCTGAAAAATCTGTGTTTTTTTTATCATATTATCTCTTTTTTATGGCTCTTAAGTGGTAGGCAAAAAGGCTGCAGTTGCAAGGAAATGGGCAGATTTTTTTTCCTTTTCCTTCTGTTGTGAACATATCTGAAGAAGCCCTATTAATCAAGCATGGTAATACTGATTTTTGGTGTATAGTCTCCCCAGTCATGTTGGTCATGCCTCATTTCTGGATGCCTGAGACTGACAGGTATAGAATGTTGTTCTGCTGCAGTAATTATGCATCTTTGATGTATGCTGCTTTTTGGAGTTTTTTTTGTTTTAATATGTCACCTTAGACTCTTTTACGAAAAGTATGTGATAGCACAGTTGTATGCATGCTTATGCTGACATTAGATCCACCATGTCCAGTCAAGCTTACTTTCTAATATATATATTGGTTGGAAAAGAATAATACATAACTTCCAGTTTCCCATATATTATAGGTAGATACTTTATTTTTTGTCCATTCATTTGTGAATAAAATTTAAAATTCCTTGAATGCTAAGAACTAGAAAGTCACAAAAAATGACTTGAAAAATAAACTGATTCATTTAACCAGTTTAAAAGATGAAAGAGTCAGTAATACTCTTTGATACATTAAGAATTTTTATAAAGCCAATATATTATTCCCAATGAGTGTAAAAATGGAAATTCTTTCACACAAGGGATATTTCAGTAAACCTATCAGTTTGTGTAAGGGAAATTACATTAGCTGAGATCATTGCTTTTTTCTTTACGTGGTATAAAACCAAGCTACCTTATACTGAAACTGATTGAAATTTCCTCAAATGATTTATTGTTTGAGGAAAATATGCAGCAAATAGATGGTGATTAACATTCTTCTGCCAATCTGCCAACCCACTGTGCCCTTTAAAAAGGTAGCTTCAATTTTTCCCTCATGTGACGTGCCATCTTTGTGTCACAGTAGTCTATGTAACAACACCTGAGGTGTCCTCCCATTTCTTCTTGGGAAGTACACTGGATTTCCGCCCCCCCACACCCATAGGACTGTGACTTTAGAACTGAGTAGGTCTGTTGTCACATTTGTAAAAAGTGGGCTTGGCAGTGACTGTAGGTGGAGTCAGACAAAATGTGTTGCATTCCCCTACACTTTAATTTTCATTTCAGATAAGGCATTTTTAACATCTATGAACTACAGTGGGGCAAAAAAGTATTTAGTCAGCCACCAATGGTGCAACTTCTCCCACTTAAAAAGATGAGAGAGGCCTGTAATTTTCCTCATAGGTATACCTCAACTATGAGAGACAAAATGGGGGAAAAAATCCAGAAAATCACATTGTCTGATTTTTAAAGAATTTATTTGCAAATCATGGTGGAAAATAAGTATTTGGTCACCTACAAACAAGCAAGATGTCTGGCTCTCACAGACCTGTAACTACTTCTTTAAGAGGCTCCTCTGTCCTCCACTCGTTACCTGTAGTATTTTCATCATAGGTATACCTCAACTATGAGAGACAAAATGGGGGAAAAAATCCAGAAAATCACATTGTCTGATTTTTAAAGAATTTATTTGCAAATCATGGTGGAAAATAAGTATTTGGTCACCTACAAACAAGCAAGATGTCTGGCTCTCACAGACCTGTAACTACTTCTTTAAGAGGCTCCTCTGTCCTCCACTCGTTACCTGTAGTATTTTCATCATAGGTATACCTCAACTATGAGAGACAAAATGGGGGAAAAAATCCAGAAAATCACATTGTCTGATTTTTAAAGAATTTATTTGCAAATCATGGTGGAAAATAAGTATTTGGTCACCTACAAACAAGCAAGATGTCTGGCTCTCACAGACCTGTAACTACTTCTTTAAGAGGCTCCTCTGTCCTCCACTCGTTACCTGTAGTATTTTCATCATAGGTATACCTCAACTATGAGAGACAAAATGGGGGAAAAAATCCAGAAAATCACATTGTCTGATTTTTAAAGAATTTATTTGCAAATCATGGTGGAAAATAAGTATTTGGTCACCTACAAACAAGCAAGATGTCTGGCTCTCACAGACCTGTAACTACTTCTTTAAGAGGCTCCTCTGTCCTCCACTCGTTACCTGTAGTATTTTCATCATAGGTATACCTCAACTATGAGAGACAAAATGGGGGAAAAAATCCAGAAAATCACATTGTCTGATTTTTAAAGAATTTATTTGCAAATCATGGTGGAAAATAAGTATTTGGTCACCTACAAACAAGCAAGATGTCTGGCTCTCACAGACCTGTAACTACTTCTTTAAGAGGCTCCTCTGTCCTCCACTCGTTACCTGTAGTTCATAGTTGAGGTATACCTATGATGAAAATTACAGGCCTCTCTCATCTTTCTAAGTGGGAGAACTTGCACAATTGGTGGCTGACTAAATACTTTTTTGCCCCACTGTATATCGTTTGTTTTTTTGCTCACCTTTAGTTATTATTCAACGTGACTTTAGGAAACATTACAGAAGAAGATAATTTAAACCATGTGATTACACTTAACTTTCTGGAGTGCTATTTTCCTTCCATAGAAATTTTTAATGTTTGAAGTTATTGTTTGCTTAGTTTCCGTTTCTCATCACCATGCTATGTGGCTCAGATTTCTACATGACTGTTAAGTTTGCGGAGCTGTCCAACAGGTCAGGGATAAGGTTAGAATAGCATGTGAGCTGTCCAGCTCAAGTGTTGTGAACTGGGGAGATGAGAAGGGCAAGGTATGGCATCAAGTAAGTAACGTCATAGTGCTAGTGTGTGTTCTGAGACACACATTCCTCAACCAGAGTAGTTATTGGTTTGCACATTTTCCTCACAAGGACAGTTCAAAGGGGAGAAACCCTACCTTGCCAAAAAATTATGGAGATTTCTGATCTGAGCCTTGGCTCAGACAATCTACTGTCTCTGAATTGGGGGCAGTACAAAGCAACTAACTCTTATTTTCCAAAGTAGGTCACTTGTCAAGTGTGAAACCTGTATGTAACCAAGCAAATGAAAGAAGAGACCAATGAGACCAGGATCATGTTTGCATATTCACATAAATATGTGAAAAAGCACAAATTTTAAATATTTCCACAGTTTGTGGTGATAACTAGATTGCTTTAAAGAGGATTACAGAAAAAATAATGATAATGATAATTTGTTATGGCCACCCTTTCCAGAAAACTCTGGGTGGCTTACAGATTCCAAATACATAGTTAAAACAATTAAAAACATAAAACAAAACAGACAGTCCAGAGTAAAAGCAGCCATAACAATAAAAACACAATGTGAGGCCCCACAAACACATTAACCCCAGGCCTGGGAAAAGAGCCAGGTCTTAAGGGCTTTCTGGAACCCCAGGAGAAGTGTTTGACAGTGTTTAATTGAGGAGACCTGGAACAGACCAACTTTGCCTGATTATACCAGGAGGCAGAAACAACTGGAGTTAGGCAGTCCTTCAGATAACCAGGCCCTATGCCATGAAGGGCTTTATAGGTAACAGTCAGCACCTTGAATTGCACCCAGAAGCACCCTGGCAAACCAATGCAGCTTGCATAGCAGGGACAACACATGATATAAAGAGAAGCACGTGTTACTGCTTGTGCTGCTGCATTTTGAACCAGCTCTAGTTTCCAGATAGTAACCATCTGAAGAGCTTCCTGGTTGAGGAAAGGGTGCAACTGCTGTACAACATGAACCTGTGCAAAGGCCCTCCTGGCCACAATTGCCATCCACTCTTTGAACAGTAGCTGTGAATCCAGGAGGACCCCCAAATTGTGCACCAGTCTTGAATGGGGAAGTGCAACTCCATCCAAGATCAATATGAAAATGTCCCTGATCCAGGAGGACCAAGCAGCCAGAGTCATTCAGTCTTGTGGGGATTGAGCCAAAGTCTATTCCTACCCGTCCAGATTGAAACAGCCTCCAGACACTGTTGCATCAACAGCTTCACCTGCTCAGGCTGGATTGAGATGTAAAGCTGAGTATAACCAGCAGAGTGATGATACCAAACCCCAACTGACAGACAACCTCACTCATTGACAAAAGTGACCAACATTGTCTTCTCCATATTATACCCAGATAATCCATTTTGTCCAAAATCCTCTGTAGCTGCCATCCAACTACCTTTTCCACAGCCTTCCCCACAAAGGGAAGATTGGAAAATGGGCAATAATTGTCCAAAATGGAGGGGTCCAGCGATGACCTTTTGAGGAGGAGCCATACCATCATCTCCTTCAAGACCTGAAGGACTACCCCCTCCCTCAAAGAGGATGATAGCATTGCATGAATCCATCCTTTGATCACCTACTGGACTGCCTTAACAACCCAGGAGGGGCCAGGATCTAATAGACAGTTCACTGAACTGATGGTTTGGAGGATGTTGTCCACTTTCTTGGGAGTCACAGATTCAAACTTTGTCCAGATATCCTCACAAGATTGTGCCCCGGGCAGCTCATGTGCCCAAAGATGACTTTATCCACCAAATAGCATGAGTACTACTCATCATAGCCCTACAGGTGATCCTGTGGCCCAACCTCCGCTAACAGGAAGCGGATCACTCTGAACAGGGCTGCTGGGCAGCTACTAGCAGATGTAATGATGGAGAAAGAATGTTGTTTTGCCACCCTTATTGCCACAATGTAGGCCCAAATATGGGGTCTCACTCATGTTTGGTCAGATTCATTCTTTGTCTTTCTCCAGTGGTTCTCCAGGTGTTGCTCCTGGAGTTTCTTGGAAAACCTCAGGACTGGCACACATAGAAAGGCCACACAGGAACAGTTTTGGCCAGGGCCTCAGTCAGCCACCTGTTCCATGCTCGAGCCAAGGCTTTGGCCATACTGCTCACCAGATCCTCAGGGAAAACCCCAAGCTCCCCCTGGAACTCAACAAGGTCCTTCTGTCATCTGGAGTGGGCTGATCTAACAGGCCCTGTCATCCTGTCAGGGTGGGTACCACCAGTGAGCTGGAGGACAACCAAAGGGTGATCTGTCCATGGCAATGGGCTGATGGTTATGTCCTCCAATGCCAGATCATACTGCAACTGCCCCTAGACAAAAACCAGAACTAATGTGACCCTTGGTATGTGTTGGGCCCTCAATTATTTGGGGCAAGTCCATTGCTGCCATGGAGCTCATGAACTCTAGAGCCATCCTGGACTCAATATCACCAGGTGGCAGGTTAAAGTACCCGAGGACCATCAACTTTGGGGATTCCACCACCAGCCCAGCAACATAATCCAGCAGCTCAAGAAGGGATGATGCTGTGCAACAGGGTGGGCAATACACCAGCAGCAATCCCAACTATTCCTTAAGGCCCCACTTCAGCCAGAGGGTCTTACATCTGGTTATCTGTGGAGCAGAGCCTCTAAGAGCCCTCAGCGACTCATGGATGGCAGTAGCCACCTCTCCACTGAGATCTCAGCTGATGTAAGACCTGAAACCCAAATGGCATATTTCTAAGAGGGGAAAATCTCATTATCTTGGAGAATACAGCTATCAATGGTTAACAATGGTTACGGATATTGCCACCAGTATCAGAGACAATAGGCTTTTCAGTGCTAGTTATGAAAAAGTTATATCTAACTAGTGGTGTTATAATAAATATCACATTGGGTCATTGTGGGAACAGAATGCTGAGTGGCATAGACCTTTTGGTATGATATAGTGCAGCTATTTTTACATCTTTACAGACAAAGCAGCAAAATGAATCAAAATATATAGGAAGGATAGAAAGAGCCATGCAATTAATTCCATGCACTAAAAGATGCTTGGGGCTTGTAGTTTATCCACAGAAACTTTCTGTCAAGTGCAAGGTACTTTTGAAACTGAGATGAATTCAGGAATAATTTGTGATATGAAACAGCCTTCTGTTCAGAAATGCAGGAAAAATGTCTCACTGAGCATGTTCAGATGTTTCAGATCCAAGCTGTAGCAAAAGGTTATGGGTAAAGTTCATACTATATTTGGCAAATATTTATTAGCTTCTGGTGCTCTCTAAAACTCCCAGTTAAAAGACAAAATGTTTTAAGGAAGAATTCTGCCAAGTTGTGTCTAGGTGCTTATGATTTTTAAAGTAAATGTATTCCTTTCTTTCTCCCAGTGGTAGCTGCTGACAGTTCGCTCAGGTTATTATCTGATGTAGCCCAAGCTGTGAAAGGCCGTGGTACTATAACATGGATAGATTGCGGGTACGTAATATAATGCCTTTCATTTTCCCACCTGTTGAAAACAGTTATGTCTAAACTAAAGTTTTGATATTGTTATGTGAATTCTCCATATTTACCCACTAGTCTTTGTCAATTGTATTCAGCATCATCTGCAGGGATATCAAAAAATCTGTATTGTGGATGTCAAAAAAGACAAGGTGACATCACAATACAAGAGGGGCTTGTATCAGAATGCCATATCCACCATCTTACCTTTTTAACCTCTATACAACCCCTGCCCCCATGCCGCTGATTATATTTACATGTGGATTGTTAACATGGAAGAATTTAAGAGCCATTTGGATCAGATCAAGTGGCCAATCAGATATCTATGAGAAGAAATTCAGTGCAGATTCAAGTTGCAATAAAGATTACTATCATCCATGTTTTGTGTCTGAGATACTTTAGCTGGTCTGAACCTAGCAATCTAATTAGCCATCTGAAATTGTAGGATTGGGATTTACTGCTAAATGCTTGTCTGGGGAGCTTGACTACCTTCTGCTATTAAATATCTGCATGTAATTGCTGACTGAGGAGTTTTGAGACTTTGAAGTGTGCTATCATCATTAAGTGGAGATGTATTTCTATTTCCTTCACCTGGAATCCTGCAAGGCTGTGGTGATAGAAGACCAGTGCTTGGCCACTGTAATGAAGTGGCTTAGATCACCAAAGTTAAGGCTCAATCCAGAGGAGGACAGTTCTTTACATCACATGAAGTTCTTTACATCACATGAACAGATTTAATCTGTCCAGAGAGAGTTGAACTTTCTCTGAAGGATCAGCTATATAGCCTGGATGTTTTTAAAGCAGAGGTAAAATTTTGGGAGGCCAGGGGCCATACTTAGCCTTTGAATGGCATGCTGGGGGCTT